GATGTTTTGTCACATGAAATATTTTAATATACCTCCTAGAAGAAGTTGCACCCAATGATTTTGTATGCATCATTGTTTATTTTAGTTTTCGTTTTCTTTTTTATTATTTATTTTTACTGGACTTTTTTTCACTATTTTTTCTATTGTTTTATTAGAGCTTTTTTATTATTAATTTTTTTGTATTGTGTGACTTGTTGTTTTGTTCATATTTCAAATCGTGATTGAAATAAATAAAGTTCAAAGAGCTGCAGCAATGCAGACCTGCAGTTCCGGTCATGAGCAGAAGGTGGCGCTGCACGGCCTGCAGCTGCCATTAAAGACAGGAAGCAGCAGCTGGTGCAGCAGCCGGCAGGGTTTTCAGAGGACGGGTTTTTATTTTTATTATTAAACAGCCGAACATCTGGGTCTGCAGCTTCCTGTCGGGATGGAGAAGGTGATCAGCTGCTTCCGGAAGAGACCGGAAGCTGCGGTCAGGCTGATCTGCTTCCCCTGGGCAGGTGGAGGCTCCCTGCACTACTCCCGCTGGGGGAACCTGCTGAGCCCCTCCACTGAAGGTAAAACCCACCTGAGCGGGTTCAGCAACAGAACCCCGCGGTCCAAACGTCTGCAGAACCAGAACCAGTCCAGAATCAAATGAATCAACTTTTATATAAATGTTTAAAAGTTTTATGAACAGAATTCCTTTTTGTGGTTAAAAACTTGATTAATTGTTTAGTTTTTCTGGGTCCTCCTGAAGCTGTAACAGTTCTGGTTCTGGTTCTGGTTCTGGTTCTGGTTCTCCTCAGTGTTGGCGGTGCGGCTCCCGGGCAGAGAGGGTCGAGCCAGAGAACCGTTCCTGGAGAACATGCAGCAGGTGGTGGAGGAGGTTCTGGAGGTTCTGCTGCCGCTGCTGAGAGACAAACCCTTTGCTCTGTTCGGTCACAGGTAGGCCGAGCCGAGCCCGACCAGAACCACAGAACCCAAACACCAGGCTGTCTTTGTTTGTTTGTTTGTTTGTTTGTTTTCTGCACACTTCAATAATAAAAACAATCTGTCTGCTTCAGCTTCGGCGCCTTCGCCAGCTTCGCCTTCGCCCACGCTCTGAAGAAACATCACGACCTGGAACCGGTCCACCTGTTTGTGTCCGGAGCTCTGGCGCCGTATGTGAGTCCAATAAACAAACAATAAACAAACAATAAACAATAACAGAACCAACTTCAGGTTATGAACAGTAAATATCTCCATGAAGTCCAGACCTTCATGAAGTCCAGAACTTCATGAAGTCCAGACCTTCATGAAGTCCAGAATTTCATGAAGTCCAGAACTTCATGAAGTCCAGACTTCCATGAAGTCCAAACCTTCATGAAGTCCAGACTTCCATGAAGTCCAGACCTCCATTAGGTCCAGACCTCCATTAGGTCCAGACCTTCATGAAGTCCAGACCTTCATGAAGTCCAGACCTTCATGAAGTCCAGACCTTCATGAAGTCCAGACCTCCAG